GCTTTGACGACATCATTGCTCATTTGTTTCATGCTAAGTTGCTAATCTTGAAAGAGAGGAATAACCGAGTATCCAATCACCCATAGACCTTTTTCCAGTATAGAGGATATATTAATATGAATCACCTATCAATCTAGATGCACTTCCTCTTTCTGAGAGTCTTTGGATGACTGCGATTCAAGCATGGTTTAATGTTGGGGCTTTATATTGCAGCCCCGTAATTTACATCTTTTACCCCTGGATGCAACATTCTGACACCATTTACCCATTTAAAGCATTTTCACACTTTAATGTTTTGTTGTGAACTTGTGGTGGCTTTTACCCCCCATCCACCACCAACCTCCCATTTTATTATCTTCCCATCTTATTATCTTCCCATCTTGATAAGGAAATATGTGTCATATGATGTGGCAATGACTAGGTGGTCAACTCCGGGGGGAAACCTATGAGGAAAAACCCTTAGGTCTTATTCGGTTACACCCGGATATGGGGGAATTTTGACTTGCAAGGAATTAAATCCATTTCAATCCCTGTCAAACCCCCTTCAAATCCCTGTCAACCGTAGGCGGCTCGTAGTCGACGGGAACGTCTCCTCCTACTGAACACGTGTCGCCGGAAATCATGAAATAAATCCAGAATAAACGCGAGCACCAGGATTTGAACCCTGGTTGGCTGGGGATACCATTGTTCACCTAACCATCCAACCACATGTTGGTTCGCGAATCGGGATTGAGTTTGATTCTGCACTAATGGGGTAGCTAGGGGATGAGTGCTTTCAGATTGGTGACACTCACTTGTCACGGGATGGAGTGGGTCTAACTTGATTGAGAGTTTTTTTTTCCAAAAAGGAACTTGATTGTGAGTTAGAGACAGTCTCATATAATTTCTTTCTATCAACTACCGCCGTTATTTGTTACCTCGGTTGTTTGGCAAATTTACACAATTTAAATATAGTTTGATCAAAATGTGATGTAATTTAGTACGCCTTAACGAGTATGTGTCTGAGCTTGTCTGTGCAGTTAGCTACCATGCCATCCTAACAAGTAGATCTAGTTTTCTATTTGTGAAAATTAATAAGTGGTAGAAAAACGGTCACAATGTCACAACTAAAAGGACAAATGTTGGCAAAGATTACTAAGTGGGGTAAAAGTTGTCACAATATCATGAAACTAGAGGGTAAAAAGTGAAAACACTACAGAGGTACATAAAAAACAATAAGTAAGAAATCCAGCAAAACTTTTATATCTTCATGTCAACGATTTACTAGATATATACACTAACAAATTTAATATCAGTCAATTTCACGGCCCTTGGTTTCTACAGGGAAGAGAATGCAGGCCACTCCAGCGAGGCATAACACCAGCTCAAACACAAAAACGGCTTCCATTTGATGGCAGGTCCGTAGCATGCCGACAGCGACAAGAGGGCATATAACCCCACCAATTTTACCAATGGAGGTTGCTAGCCCAACACCGGTCGAGCGGACTGATGTTGGATATACCTAGAAATAAAGGGAAATGAATTAGTGCGCTACAAACTCTGCTCCAAAGAAATAATATTATCCAAAAGGTGTACAAAAATTGCTTCACACAATCAAATTGAGTTTGGAAGGAAAAGTGTCGCAGCGATGAAGACGAGAACACCTAGAAATACAAACAGATTTGAAATATTTTCTCCCTATCCACTATATGGATCTATCATGAGCTGCAATTAGGATGTTGGATTCTTATTATGATTGTTGCAGATCTTTTTTATGTTAGTGTTTTCAGTGACCTTTGAAGTTAGCACGAAACAATATCTGGTAAGATGGGCAAGAGAATCTGCAAATCCATGAAACTAGAAATGGATGCTCTAGCTAGGAAAATATTATTACTCCCATGCTTATACAGCATATGCAAGTCTTCTGGCATCGACGCAACAATAGAAAATCATCCTAGCATGAGTTTCATACTGCAGGGCCCAGCAGTAAGTTTTATTTGTATTAGGCTGTGTTTGGATTTAGCCCAAGCTAACCTTGCCAGATATTTGGCTATGCCAAAATTTTGGTGAAGGTTCTGCTAGCATTGGCAAGAAAAATTAACTAGTAGGTTCTTTGACCACAGGGAAGTTCACCTATCTTCAGTATGCAATATAGGGAAGATATAGTACAAGATTATTTCAACCCATGCTAGTGTGATGAATTGAATAGTTTAAACCTGAATATTGAAATCAAAACTACCTTGGCGTAACAAAAAGAATAATCAAAAACACCATCTGGATAAACTGGTTAAATGGATGAATGTAACATTCAAAGTTATTAACAAAAATAACTAGATGGTATTTACAGGACACTGTAAAAACCAAGACACTGGGAAAACAAAGTAGACTTGCTATATTTAAGTAAGAATTCACACAAACCTCTGGGGCATATAAACATAGAACTGTGGAGCTACCCATGGCACATGCGCGAGCACCGAATAGGAGTGCAGTTGTAAGTAGCTCATCCTGATGAAGTACTAGTGGCCCAAGGAAAGCACAACAAGTGAAGAGCATGGACCACATTGTAGCTTTCCGGCCAATCCATTCAACAAGAATGGCAGATACAATTAGACCAGGAATCTCTGGAACATCAGTGCATATACTTGTTAGCTGGTGGCATATTGTTATAAAAGAGGCAGTCATCAGGCAACAAAATATGTTCACTGTAAGCTACCTGCTAAACTCGTAACAAATGTATCCCTGTAAAGGTTAGCATCTTCTTGACGTTGTACAGTTGTCAGCCCAGATGGGCAGTTTGTATTGGCATCGCTCAGCTGAGATGTCAGCAAGACCACCCCATAATATGCAAAGGAATTTGCAAAGTAAACAAACCAAAGAAGAAGAGTTGATCGGCGCAATGCTGGCGACAATAGCCTTCGCAGTGCAGCAGCGGCGCCAGATTTGAAGCTCAAGGCATTGTTAGCTTTGCATTCTGTCTCTCTGACTGGAAGAAGATGATCTATTTCGGTCTCAGATGTAAGAGTGTCAACTTTACTTTCACGGCGGTATGTGAGAACTCCAGGAGGAAGATCTTCTTGGTTTATCATAGAGACACTCTCCAGGACAAGTGTAGCGTCTGACATTCTATTTTGTGCACAAAGATAGCGTGGTGATTCAGGTATTATTCGAAAGAATGGAAGCAAGAGGAAGCATGGAATGGAGGTCAATACTAGCAACCACCGCCAATTCAATGCCGATATGACAACCTGCGACCAAACCACAGTCGAATAGCATTTCTCAGAACTGTATAAAATTCTATAAACATAAGTCACAAATAAAATGTCGAAAATGCATCAGCCCAGAGTTTAACTGAGCATCAGTTATTTTAAACTTCATGCAGAAAATCAAAGTTGAGCTGTGGAGGTAAAAAGTGTGATATGAGATAGCACAAGATGAAATCACAAGTATTCCTGCGGAATATTTGCCATTCCCATTCATTTTTACTTGTCAATTCAGATAATAGAGATGGTCTGTAATACACACCATTGACCATAATTTTTATTATTACACGCTATAAGAATATTTAATTATCTAAAAGTACCTCTGATGACAAAGACATAATAATAATTTCAAACACTTGGGAAGGAATGGATTTCAAGACTATGAAAAAACCAACACAAATTCACTTCTACATACATTTATAAGCACCCGACCTGAACAAACAGATATCGTTCTTTCAGTTGACACCCTTAGCATGTGGTGTCTCTTTATTTCAATATAGTTGTAGTTTCAGAGTCATGCTCTTATATCGAATTGCTTATATCTACACATACTTAATATTTGTTGGTGTCACTATATCTTTCTTCTATTTCTATACCTACAAAATGCATTAGGGAAACACATTTTAGAATGAAAATGCGAAAGGTATAATTCGTTCACAACACTAAAGGGCCACAAAAGAAAGGTGCCATACCCATGCAAGTGAAGCCTCCAAGACGGTGCCGATAGTCCAAAAAAGCGAAAAAAGAACCACGCAAGTGCCACGATTTTGGGCAGGAACAAACTCCAAAAACCAAGATGAGAACACATGCCCGCCACCCACTCCCACGCCGACGAGAAACCGAAGAGCGATCAAGCATAAATAGTTGGGAGACCAGGCACTCAAGAAGCCCATTCCGCTAGTGAACAGAGCTGAAAACAGCAAAACGGTCCTGAAACAAGAAAAGAAGTACAGGCTTTGCCTTTACAAAAATTCCTACTCAGAAATGCCTATACTAAAAAATGTGAAACAGGGAAGTGCTTCATACCTTCGACCATATCTGTCAGAAACAAAGCCCCAAGCACATGAGCCGGTTAGCATGCCGGCAAAGACCACACTTGAGAGTAGGCTCTCATCTTGGGCAGAGACTTTCCACTCCTCCCGAACCAACGGTCCAACAAATGACAGTAGGTTGAGCTCCATGGCTTCTACAACCCAACCCATTCCTGCATAAGCAAGAACAAGCGCCTGGAATCTGCCAAACCCCATGGCTGAAAGCGCGTCATCCGTAGTGTATGTTTCCATGCTGTCAGAGTCTTTTGCTTGATCAGTATTCACCAGTATCACAGGCAAGTCTCTAACAAGCTTTTGGTCAAATAAGTATCTGCAGTATGCCCCATGCAGAAAAAAATCATTCTTAGAGACCAAAAGCATAGCCAATATGACTTGCTGCATACATTAGGAGTTCAGACCTGAAAGGCAAAAGCATGTTGAGTATGTTTGTGCAAGATGAAGCATGCAGTGATGAATCTAGAATGCCAAGAGCACGGGCCTCCTCGGATGCAAGACAGATTGCAAAGCAAATAAAATGATAAATTCATTCTTCTCGGAGCGTGCAGACATGTAAACTAAAACTGAATGTACTACCGTGGTTATTACTAGTAGTATGCATTAAAGGTAGTACTAGCTGGGGATTCTTCCAACTACCACCACACCAGGCGAAGCCTGAAGGCCAACGAGAGACTTGAACAAGGAAGTAAGTACTGCCATATATTCAGATGTGAGCAGATCCGGCCTGCTGTAGGAACAAATTCACCGTAGAAAAAGTAGGTGGCTGAAACTTCCCCTGGGATTCGTTGCATACAACTCCTTTACTCTAGTCTAGGATTCAACACACGAGAGGAGGGGGGGAAAACAATCAGTCGGGGTCACTGTGGTACCACTGTATGAGCGTAGTGAAGCGGGCCACAGCGCCCGACACCCAGCACTTAATCTGAACGGGAACGAGTGCCCGCGGGCAGCATAGAGATGGACGAGCTGGGAGCCAATCAAAATTTAACAGCAAGGGGTCGTCAGAGGGAGCGTACCGTGGATGCGGGTTCCCGGGAGAGGAAAGCATAGGCGGCGGGCGGCGGGCGGCGGCGGGCGGAGGAGGACGGGGAACGACCCTGTCTGTGGCTGTGATTGATCGGCTGCTTCGTTCCATGGCACCATAATAAGCGGCAGGCGGCAGCAACAGATTTCTGGTGTCTGGTGGAGTCAAGGAACAAGCCTGACTGACGACGACGTGTGCTTTGGTCGCTGCGTACGCCACTCTACTCAACTACCGGCCCCTATATTTTCATTTTCATTTCCATTTTTCTGGCTTGTCTCGTCTCCGCTCCGCTCCGCTCGTCTTACCGGCCGGGCAGGGAGCATCTATCCAGCAATAATTATGTAATTAAGCATATCCTTGGCAGGCATCTTGTCCTACAAAACGCCACTCTCTTATCTCTCTCTGCTGTCCATACCGCTTACATCAATGTGAGGCGTGCTACATGTTGCCTGACTGAAAACAGCACGGCGAGCATATTCTCTTTTGCTTCTCGTCCTCTGTCGTGTGCCTTGGTTCTCCTGCCGTCCCTCCGGGTTGTGGATGCATTTGACCCTTGCTTGATTAGTACTCCCTCTGCTCACTATTATAAAATGGGAAAATGTTTGTTTTAAATCGGATGATAATAGCGAGACACAAGCCGTCTCCAGCTATTGACACGCGTCCCTGGCTAGCCCACGCACCGCTCCCCATCTGTACCTTATGCCACGCAGGGAAGCCACAACCACGCAATTTTCACGCGCTCGCTTTGTCTTCCTCGTGCAGATCCCTCTCTCTCCTGTCGCCACTACCATGGCCGCGCCGTGCTTTGCTCTACTTCGAGTTGGGATTGGACAGCAACAATGCGCTGCACAAATTCACCGACACGGCAAATATGCATACTACACAGCCCCCTTCACTTGTGATAAACTTTGAGGACAGCTTCAACCAACAAGTAAGCAGCGGAATAACACAAACAACATGCACAAGTGACACAAGATTTAACGTGGAAAAACCTCCTCAACTTGTGGAGTAAAAAACCACGGCTGTGGACCGACCGGTCCACACAACTTCACTATGAGAATGATGAGTACAAAGTCTTCTCTAAAACCTCTAGAGAGATTTACAACACACTCTCCACGTTGCCAACCGGCAACAGCAACAACGGCCACAAGAGGCAAGATTTCAGCAAAGCAGAGTTTACACAGCTTCTGTACCCTTCAGTGTTTTGCAAACTGCTCTTAACCGCTGAACCAAACAGCACCAAATTTGGCAGACAAGTAGACACACGAGTTCCTGAGATCCCCTCCAAATTTCAGCTCAATCAGACATCGTTTGCCTACCCAAACTGTTCGTCTCCCAAAACCACTCTATTCTGAAACTGCAGCAGTCAGAGCTGACAAAACCACTCTCAAATCTGATGCTCCACTGACCCAATCCTCAAACCAGCTAACCAAATCGAAGTACTCAAAGTAAGGAACGACTCACCAAGTTTGGGGTCGATCCAAGCACGTTTGAGCCTCCAATCACCAGCTTGAACACTGTCTAGTCAGATGCAGCAAATCTGGACAGAACCTCTGCTTCTTCTTCTTCCTCTCTCTTAGGTTGTGTTTTCTCTTGTGTGCTCTCTCTCTCTCTCACTCTCACGAATGGCAGCCACCCCCAGCAAGGGGTGGAGTGGCTAGGGTTTTCTTCTTGCTTCACTTCCCTTGGAAGCGCTCTCAACCGTTGGATGCAGCGAAGATCAACGGCTGACATGTGTTGGACTTATGGGCTGATGTTGGGCTGCCAACACACCTCCATGTGGAGGGACTTAGCCCAACAAACTCCCCCTCCTGACATCATGGAGGGTCTTACTACCTTCCGACAGCCATGCCAGCGAGCCGACGGCATACTTCGAGCTTCTTCCTTGTCACCACTTTAGTCAACATGTCAGCCCCATTGTCATCGGTGTGAACCTTCTCAAGTTGCATTTTCTTGGAATACAACACATCTCGAATCCAATGATAACGGACTTCTATATGTTTAGACCTTGAATGAAAGCTTGCATTCTTACTCAAGTGGATAGCACTTTGGTTGTCACAAAACAACACATATTTGTCTTGCTTAAAACCAAGCTCACAAGCCAACCGTTTCAGCCACAATAGCTCTTTGCTCGCCTCTGTTACAGCAATGAATTCAGCTTCAGTTGTATTTAATGCCACACACTTCTACAGCCTGCTTTGCCATGACACCGCTCCCCTGCATAGGTAACCAAGTAACCTGAAGTAGACTTCCTTCTGTCAACATCTCCAGCCATGTCAGAATCTGAAAAAGCAATCAGCTTTGCCTCACCATCACCGAAGCAAAGTTTCAGATTTGTGCTGCCCCGAAGATATCTCAAAATCCACTTCACGGCTTCCCAATGAGGTCTTCCTGGATTGGACATAAATCTTCTCACAGTACTAACCGCGTGAGCAATGTCAGGCCTTGTACACACCATAGCATACATCAAACTCCCAACCGTTGAAGCGTAAGGAACATGATGCATTTCCTTTTTCTGCTCACCAGTGGTAGGACATTGCTTTCTGCTCAACTTGAAATGGGCTGCTAGTGGACAACTTACAACTTTAACATTTTCCATCCTGAACTTCTGAAGTACCTTCTCAATATACTTCTCTTGAGACAAGTACAACTTGTTGCAATTTTTGTCTCGCTCAATTCTCATTCCGAGAATATTTTTTGCTGGACATAAGTCTTTCATAGCAAAACATTTGCTCAACTCCTTCTTCAACTTAGCAATCCTAGAGACATTCTTGCCAACAATCAGGATATCATCAACACAGAGCAATAATATGATGAAATCATCACCTGAGAACCTCTGAATAAACACACAATGGTCTGAGCTACACTTCTTGTAGCCTTGCTCCCCCATGACAGTTTCAAACTTCATGTACCATTGTCTTGGTGCTTGTTTCAGGCCATAGAGACTTTTCTTCAGCTTGCACACATAGTCTTCTTTGCCTTTCACAAGAAACCCCTCAGGTTGCTCCATGTATATTTCTTCCTCCAACTCACCATGAAGGGATGCAGTCTTCACATCCATTTGCTCAACCTCCAAGTTGAGACTTGCTGCCATGCCAAGGATTACTCTTATGGATGTCATCTTCACAACCGGAGAAAAGATCTCATCATAGTCAATGCCTTTTCTCTCGCCGAATCCTTTTACAACTAGCCTGGCCTTGTACCTTGGATGTGATGTGTGCTCTTCTTGCTTGATTCTGTAGACCCACTTGTTCTTCAAAATTTTCTTGCCCTTGGGCAACTTCACCAACTCATAAGTGTGATTCTTATGCAAGGAATCCATCTCTTCTTGCATAGCCTTTTTCCACTCCTTCTTGTGCTCATCTTCCATTGCATCTGCAAAGCATTCAGGTTCTGAACCGTCAGATAATAACACCACGCATTGATCTGAGGGATACCTGCTGGAAGGAATTCGACCCCTGTTGGATCTTCTGAGTGGAGCAGCTGGTGGACTTTCTGGTGCTGGTGCTTCTTGCTGATCCGGATCATCAACTTCAGCATCATACTCTTGTTGTTGCTGTTGGGGAGCATCTTCTTCACCTGCACCACCATGTACATCATCTTGTACATCTTCTGCATCTGCTTCAACTTGCACAGGAGCTGGAGCTGCAGGAACTGGGTCAGAATCAATCATGTCTTGCTGCTGCTGAGGAGGAACCTGCCCCTTTGTCTTCACAATATCCTCAATTGTTTGGTCTTCAACAAACACAACATCACGGCTTCTCACAACTTTTCTTGCTATAGGGTCAAACAACTTGTAGCCAAACTCATCACCACCATAACCAAGAAAGATACATTGTCGTGTCTTTGAATCAAGCTTTGACCTTTCATCTTGAGGAATATGAACAAAGGCCTTGCACCCAAAAACCTTCAGGTGGTCATATGAGACGTCCTTGTCACACCAGACCCTGTTAGGAACATCTCCCTGTAAAGGATAACTTGGTGAGAGATTAATAAGATAAACTGCAGTCATCAAAGCCTCACCCCAAAAGTGTTTGCGTAGCTTTGCACTTGACAACAAGCATCTAACTTTCTCCACAATTGTCCTGTTCATCCTCTCGGCAAGACCATTCAGTTGTGGTGTCTTCAAGGGAGTAAATTGATGCATAATACCTTGCTGCTTGCAATATGCATCAAATGGCCCAATGTACTCTCCTCCATTATCAGTGCGGATGCACTTGATCTTCTTCTCAGTTTCTCTCTCAACCGAGGCTTGGAATTGCTTGAATACACCTAGTACTTGATCTTTGGTCCTCAAAGTGAAGGCCCAAACTTTCCTGGAAAAGTCATCAATAAAAGTCACAAAGTACTTAGCACCACCAAGAGATCTTACCGACATTTTGCAGACATCGGAATGTATCAAGTCCAGCTTCTCGGGCTTCTTGTGAGGAGGTAGAGTCTTGAAGGCAACTCGGTGTTGCTTCCCTGCTAGACAATCTGAACATTTCTTGATGTGAACTCCTTTCACACCCTTCAACAATTTTTTCTTCACTAGCACTGTCATCCCCTTCTCACTCATGTGCCCAAGTCTCTTGTGCCATAAAGCACAATGATCATCCTTCTCTAGTGCATTGACAGAAGCACTAAAGAGCTTAGCATGAACATGATACAAAACTGAGACCATTTTACCTCTTGCAACAATCATGTTGCCTTTGGTGAGCTTGTACTGCCCTTCTCCAAAACTGCTCAAGTAATCATCTCCATCAAGCAAACCAACTGAAATAATGTTGAGACGAAGTGCCTCAACATGCCTCACAGATTTGAGGACTAACCTTGTACCATTTGCGGTCTCCAAATGCACATCTCCTTTTCCAATGATGGCTGCTCTATCATTGTTCCCCATCTTCACAACACCAAAATCACCTGATATATAGTTTGTGAAGAGCTCTCTACGAGATGTAGCATGAATGGTAGCACCGCTGTCCGGTATCCAAATCATCTTGTCACCATCCACAAGGTTGACGGTTTCATCAGAAATAACAGTGATCCTCTCCTCAACAGTGGAACCAAATCTGCCCTCATTTTCTTCATGCATAACAAGCATGATGTCCTCTTCTACTGCAGTAACTCGG